AAATGGTCAAAATTACTATGGTTGTGATGAAAAAGTTGCGCGATCAAATAAATGCCTATCTTAGGATAAAAAGTGGGACCTCTTATCTAAAGATGGCATACGAAGAGGTATTATTTCCCATCTGCTTTACTGGCAAAAAGAAGTACTTTGGGATTGGGCATGAAGATATAGTAAACTTTAAACCGAAAAATCTTTTCATGAAAGGGATAGATACTGTAAAGCAAGGTAAATTCCAGCTTTTTAAATTCATTGGAGAAAGGATTATGAGGGAGGCTTTGGATATAAATAATACACGCTCAATTCATGAAATTGTTGAAGATATTCTTAGGGAAGCTCGGAACAAGGAATGGGATTTCAATGAATTTATTGTAATGGGAACATGGAAGCCTAAGAAACAAAATCTTTATAACATTCGCTTTATGGGTCGTATGAGAGAGAAAAATGAGAGGATTCCTAATCCTGGCGAACGGTTTAGCTACATTGTTGTAAAAGGCTTACCTCTCTATAATAAAGAGGGTAAAAAGGAGCCACATAGAATCGGTGATTTTATGGAGTATGCAGACATCACAAAAGAGCAAAATATGGAAATAGATATCAATTATTACTTAGGAGCGACAACGGCAATGTGTGCATGGTTTATTAACGAAGACGAGAAATATCAAACACCATCTTCACATAAAATTATGCAACTCAAAGATTGTAAGCCATGATGAGACTAGGATATAATGATGCAAAATCCAATCCCGTTACAGGTCTTTTCGTTTCAATCACTTTTTTAGGCGGAAATACGTATGCACCGGGATACTTACCCTTTTCTGTGTTTTCAGGTATCCTTGTACTAATTACCATATCACGTTTAAAAGCGTAAGCACCCAGAAGGTTTTGTACCTTCATTTCATTCGCACGGTAGTGTGAGTCGAACAAAGTTACATAAGCTATAGAAGCGACTTCTCTGTAATCATTTATTTGACTTAGCTTTACCAAAAGCTCTTGACAGCACAGTGCGTCTATAATACAGTAATATGCTACTTTATGCATATTTCTTGCGGTTGATGAAAAGGAATTTTTTTTCGCCTCTGAATATATTTTCCACATTTTATCGTATGGCATGTCGGCCTTAGTGTCAAGACCGCATTTTTGTAAGAAGAATTTAAGTGAGCCTTCCTTTTCGACCTCAGAATAAGGGAAACGTCTTTTGAGACACACCCGGACATCAATCGGTATGCAACCTGGCATTTTAAGGAAGCTAGATGTAAAATCCTCTTCCGCACTAATTTTGATCTTAATTGGTCTGCCCATATATTCTTTCTCCTCTGGATCCTCCTCACCTTCCTCGGGAGGCTTAATAGTATTCTTTACCTTAAAAATATTTTCAGACTTTGCTTCTATCTTTCCACGATATTTCTATTTTATAATTTCTGCATTCGTTTCGAACTTACCTGCCATTTGTTCCCACATCCATTCAAGTATGTTGAGATAATAGGCTCTCTCCATAATAAAATGCCAATCATAATCAGAATCGTTAAACCCAACTTGAATGTCAGGGACAAATGCTTGCCAGCAAAGAGCAAAAGCTTTTAGCAGATTTTCTTGATTTCCACATATGATTGTGATCCATCGTGGATCTGATTCTGTTTTAATATCGACAAGACATATTTGCTTTAGAGGTTTTGGATCATCTTTCCAATGCAATGTTATGCAAATCATAAAGACATTATTATTCATATTGAGGACTTTGGCAAATTCGCCAAATTCTTGTGATTGAGTCTCTATGTCCCACGTGAGGACAAGAGTACGATCTCGTAAGAGAGCTGAAATAGGGAATCGGTCACTTA